CGAAGGGCGCGTCCCCAAAGGGCGGGGGGGGGGCGGGAGCCTCAGGTTTGCGACGCACCTTGGGGATGATAGTTCTGGTGCCGGCCTCTCCCTTCCTGCGGCCGAGGGGCTGCCCGGGCGGTGTGAGCGCACCGGGCTCCGCTGCCCGCCCGGCCCAGGCGGTCCCAGGGCTGCTGTGTGTGGGGCAGGGCCCGGGTTCACCTCAGCACCGCGCAGGCCCCTCCGGGTGCCCAGATTCCCACCCCAGGGAGGCTCTCGGGCTCCTCCGAGGACGTCAGGCTGTGACTTGAGAGTGTTTCTCAGCGGTGCAGTGAGAATGGCACTGATGCAACTTCAGAAAACCATCAGTTTGTGTGGGAACATCTTGGATTTCCACTGGGACCTGACGTTCCCTTCGTTACAGCACAAGGAAGAGCAACACCCAGGGCCTGCCCTGATACCAGTCCCGGCAGAGTGAATGCAAGGGGGTCTCTTAAAGGTCCTTTTCTCTGTCGTGTGTGCTTGGACTGCCAATGCCTTTTATTGTTCTGATTACATCTGCAAGCCAGAGGGTACAAATTGTATCCGTTAGCTTTATTTCTTTCTTACTCATGTGGTAAAGAACCAAACTCATTAGGATGTTCCCACCTTGACTGCAGGAGAACAAGCCATATAGAAATGTAATAATCCGATCCTCCACAGTGGTGAATGACACAGGTGCATCCTCACCTTCCTTTTTGTACACTACTGGATGAGCAAAAAGATGGCAACACTTTGCGTGCAGCGTCTTGTCTTCCTCTACCTGATGAAAATTCAGTGGCTCTCAGGGGTGGCACGAGCTGCCCCTTTCTATCTGGCAGCTTTGAGGAGGGAAGAGGGAAAAACTGTAGCATGGACAGAGCCTGAGCCGACAAAAGCACCTCATGGAGCTGTCTTGTCACGTGGAGACACACGCAGAGGTGTGCAAAGGCTTTTTGCCTTTCCTTCCAGAGTGGAAAATCGGTACCTCTGTACCATCTTGTCACTGTCACTAGTCTGTGCTGGCTGTCTCAAAGTTGGATATAACCCTCCCCAGGCCCAGCACCTGGGGGTATCGGTGTAGCCCCATCCCTCCTGCCAGCAGCCCTTTCCCCCCACCGCGTGTGACTGCAGCACGGGGCTGGCTGGCACCGCTCTCGTGTCAGTGCTGCCCCTCGGGCCTGATAACCCCGGACAGGAACGCGCCCATCCAGCTGCCCCAGCGCCCTGCCCCGCTGAGATCCACGGGGATGCCTCCCTGCTCCTTCCAGGTGATGCGGTACATGCAGCAGCATCCACAGGAGGTTTCTCTAACCGGCACGTAAACGGTTTTTATAAGACAAAAATCTCACTTGATCCCGCACCTCCGCGTTCTGTGTGTTTTAGGGGACATAGCCCTGACTCCTACCGCGGGCTTGGGGCCCCGGGGACCATTTGAAGGGGGTCCCGGGATCCCGGCGGGCAGGGCTGGGGCAGCGGCCCCAGCAGAGGGCAGCCCGCGGCCGCGCTCCCGGCCCCGCGGGCGGGGACTCGTCGGTTGTCGGCGTTAGGGAACACGCAGCTGGAGCCAGAGGGGTGGGTGTCTCTCTCTGCCCGCGTCAATCGCAGCGGCAAAGGGAGCTAAAGAGGAGGTGCTTATCAATTTATTTATTTATTTATCTATCTATTTTTAAAATTTATTTATTTATTTATGTATTTGCATGGGTTTTCCGCTGTCCTGAAAAGCTTTTTCTTCCATCTGAAGGGCCTGGGAGTCAGCAACCTCAAAACCAGCCTCTCCATCGCACATTGCGTTGAGGAGAATCCAGCCCAGGATTTACTGGGGACTGCCACAAGCGAAAATTCCTCCCAATTAACAAATTACTCAAAGAGCCCGTGAGCATCCGTGATGCAGGAGAGGGAAAGCCCATAGTGCAAACCTTTCCTGCCCAGCTGCAGCACCCAGAGCAGCTTCTTGCTTCATTTAAATGCTGTCACCATCTCCAGCTGTGGCAACTTGTCTCGATGGTGCTGAGATGGGAGAGCAGTGCTGATGCTGCTGTTATTGGTGAAGCACGATTCACAATCCCTACATTAGGCCTCTTCCTTTATCTGCAGGTGGATGCAATGATCTGTTTCTCAGCATGGCACAAAGGGACATGCAGTTGGTGTTTCAGGGCATGGGGGAAGGGGTAAACCTGCTAGTTAGCAGACATCACTGGGATTAATCTGTTCTGCTTACAAATTTGCTGGCTGTGTGACCTAGGTTGAGCAGTGTTTAAAAGTTTTGAGATCTGTAGCTGAGGCATGAGAAGAGCACAGCATTTAATCTGATCTGTCTGGGTATTTTTGCCCAACATCATAGCCATCATCACCTGTAGGTGAGCATGTTAAACCATGGTGTCTTAGACAAAGCAGTTTATCCCCCAGGGAGGAGAACAATGGACCTCTCCTTGCATCAGACCTCTAGTACAACATTTATGAGATCTATGAACTCTGCCTATAGCCATGCCCTCAAGGAAAGCTTTAGGCAGTTTGCACAGTTCAGGTCAGTAGGAGACTTAGGAAGGGAGAAATCTTACCTGCTTGCTGCTGCTTTTGAAGACCTGATGGAATGAATGCTTGTAAATCTTAAGGATGAAGTTTATACCAGAAAAAATAAATGCTTAGAAAGTTATCTAGATCAAAATTACTATCAAAGCAATGATGTTTAGTCTTATTTTCCTATGTTATAATCCCCTGGAAACCTATTCCTTTGGTTGACCAGGGAGATGAGGATATTAATTGTCAATTCAATTTGTAAAGGACCGTCCTTCCAGAGTCACACTTTCTATCACAGATGATCAGAGCCAAGTTCAGTCCATTTTTTTGGTCAGTGTTTGCTGCCACTGTCTTTCAGGTTTCTTCCTTTCTTGACCCTCACCTTCCACTCCCCCTCCTGTCACTACTATTGTAAGAGCTGTAAACTAGCACCTCTTTCCATGGAAATTCTGATATCACAGGGAAAAAGTTATCCTTTGCTACAGCTGCCTACGAACAGTTCATGGACATTTCAGTTGGCTGACAAAACCAAGTTGTTCCCTAAAAGTGGTGTGAATGAAGTCTGGTTTCATGGGTGCTCAAGTCCTTTCTGCTCTTTGAAGCCATCACTGTATGATCCTTCTGTCTTGCACAGGATGACGTAGCTGGCAGCCTGGTGCTTGCTGTGCAGAATACACAGTGGTGCAGTCCTGCCTGTGTTTTCCTCAATGATGACACTCGTTTGAGTCCCTGAGCACCCAGCTTCTGACTGTCACTGTCTGTAAAATGCAATCATTGTCGAGGGGTGTTCCCTGTATTCTGTGTTACTG